TGTCATTAATGTTGGTCTGCAGATAGAAATGTGTGTGTGTGATGGTCTTTGTGTCATTAATGTTGGTCTGCAGATGTAAATGTGTTTGTGAGGGTCTTTGTGTCATTAATGTTGCTCTGCAGATATAAATGTGTGTGTGAGGGTCTTTGTGTCATTAGTGTTGGTCTGCAGAGATATATGTGTGTGTGTGAGGGTCTTTGTGTCATTAATGTTGGTCTGCAGATATAAATGTGTGTGTGTGAGGGTCTTTGTGTCATTAATGTTGGTCTGCAGATATAAATGTGTGTGTGTGAGGGTCTTTGTGTCATTAATGTTGGTCTGCAGATATAAATGTGTTTGTGAGGGGCTTTGTGTCATTAATGTTGCTCTGCAGATATAAATGTGTGTGTGAGGGTTTTTGTGTCATTAATGTTGGTCTGCAGATATAAATGTGTGTGTGAGGGTCTTTGTGTCATTAATGTTGGTCTGCCAGATATAAATGTGTGTGTGAGGGTCTTTGCGTGATTAATGTTGGTCTGCAGATATAAATGTGTGTGTGAGGATCTTTGTGTCAGTAATGTTGGTCTGCAGATTTAAATGTGTGTGTGAGGGTCTGTGTCACTAATGTTGGTCTGCAGGTATAAATGTGTGTGTGAGGGTCTTTGTGTCAGTAATGTTGATATGCACATATAAATCTGTGTGTGAGGGTCTTTGTGTCATTGTTGGTCTGCAGATATAAATGTGTGTGTGAGGGTCTTTGTGTCATTAATGTTGGTCTGCAGATATAAATGTGTGTGTGAGGGTCTTTGTGTCATTAATGTTGATCTGCAGATATAAATGTGTGTGTGAGGGTCTTTGTGTCATTAATGTTGCTCTGCAGATATAAATGTGTGTGTGAGGGTCTTTGTGTCATTAATGTTGGTGTGCAGATATAAATGTGTGTGTGAGGGTCTTTGTGTCATTAATGTTGGTCTGCTGATATAAATGTGTGTGTGAGGGTCTTTGCGTCATTAATGTTGGTCTGCAGATATAAATGTGTGTGTGAGGGTCTTTGTGTCATTAATGTTGGTCTGCAGATATAAATGTGTGGGTGAGGGTCTTTGTGTCATTAATGTTGGTCTGCAGATATAAATGTGTGTGTGAGGGACTTTGTGTCAGTAATGTCGGTCTGCAGATATAAATGTGTGTGTGAGGGTCTTTGTGTCAGTAATGTTGGTCTGCAGATATAAATGTGTGTGTGAGGGTCTTTGTGTCATTAATGTTGGTCTGCAGATATAAATGTGTGTGTGAGGGTCTTTGTGTCATTAATGTTGGTCTGCAGATATAAATGTGTGTGTGAGGGTCTTTGTGTCATTAATGTTGGTCTGCAGATATAAATGTGTGTGTGTGTGTGTGAGGGTCTTTGTGTCATTAATGTTGGTCTGCAGATATAAATGTGTGTGTGAGGGTCTTTGTGTCAGTATTAATGTTGGTCTGCAGATATAAATGTGTGTGTGAGGGTCTTTGTGTCATTAATGTTGGTCTGCAGATATAAATGTGTGTGTGTGAGGGTCTTTGTGTCATTAGTGTTGGTCTGCAGATATAAATGTGTGTGTGAGGGTCTTTGTGTCATTAATGTTGGTCTGCAGATATAAATGTGTGTGTGAGGGTCTTTGTGACAATGTTGGTCTGAAGATATAAATGTGTGTGTGAGGGTCTTTGTGAAAATGTTGGTGTGCAGATATAAATGTGTGTGTGAGGGTCTTTGTGTCATTAATGTTGGTCTGCAGATATAAATGTGTTTGTGAGGGTCTTTGTGTCATTAATGTTGCTCTGCAGATATAAATGTGTGTGAGGGTCTTTGTGCCATTATTGTTGGTCTGCAGATATAAATGTGTGTGTGAGGGTCTTTGTGTCAGTAGTGTTGGTCTGCAGATATAAATGTGTGTGTGAGGGTCTTTGTGTCATTAATGTTGGTGTGCAGATATAAATGTGTGTGTGAGGGTCTTTGTGTCATTAGTGTTGGTCTGCAGATATAAATGTGTGTGTTAGGGTCTTTGTGTCAGTAATGTTGGTCTGCAGATATAAATGTGTGTGTGAGGGTCTTTGTGTCAGTAATGTTGGTCTGCAGATATAAATGTGTGTGTGAGGGTCTTTGTGTCATTAGTGTTGGTCTGCAGATATAAATGTGTGTGTTAGGGTCTTTGTGTCATTAATGTTGGTCTGCAGATATAAATGTGTGTGTGAGGGTCTTTGTGTCATTAATGTTGGTCTGCAGATATAAATGTGTGTGTGAGGGTCTTTGTGTCAGTAATGTTGGTCTGCAGATATAAATGTGTGTGTGAGGGTCTTTGTATCAGTAATGTTGGTCTGCAGATATAAATGTGTGTGTGAGGGTCTTTGTGTCATTAATGTTGGTCTGCAGATATAAATGTGTGTGTGAGGGTCTTTGTGTCAGTAATGTTGGTTTGCAGATATAAATGTGTGTGTGAGGGTCTTTGTGTCAGTAATGTTGGTCTGCAGATATAAATGTGTGTGTGAGGGTCTTTGTATCAGTAATGTTGGTCTGCAGATATAAATGTGTGTGTGAGGGTCTTTGTGTCAGTAATGTTGGTCTGCAGATATAAATGTGTGTGTGAGGGTCTTTGTGTCAGTAATGTTGGTCTGCAGATATAAATGTGTGTGTGAGGGTCTTTGTATCAGTAATGTTGGTCTGCAGATATAAATGTGTGTGTGAGGGTCTTTGTGTCATTAATGTTGGTCTGCAGATATAAATGTGTGTGTGAGGGTCTTTGTGTCAGTAATGTTGGTTTGCAGATATAAATGTGTGTGTGAGGGTCTTTGTGTCAGTAATGTTGGTCTGCAGATATAAATGTGTGTGTGAGGGTCTTTGTATCAGTAATGTTGGTCTGCAGATATAAATGTGTGTGTGAGGGTCTTTGTGTCAGTAATGTTGGTCTGCAGATATAAATGTGTGTGTGAGGGTCTTTGTGTCAGTAATGTTGGTCTGCAGATATAAATGTGTGTGTGAGGGTCTTTGTATCAGTAATGTTGGTCTGCAGATATAAATGTGTGTGTGAGGGTCTTTGTGTCATTAATGTTGGTCTGCAGATATAAATGTGTGTGTGAGGGTCTTTGTGTCAGTAATGTTGGTTTGCAGATATAAATGTGTGTGTGAGGGTCTGTGTCAGTAATGTTGGTCTGCAGATATAAATGTGTGTGTAAGGGTCTTTGTGTCAGTAATGTTGGTCTGCAGATATAAATGTGTGTGTGAGGGTCTTTGTGTCAGTAATGTTGGTCTGCAGATATAAATGTGTGTGTAAGGGTCTTTGTGTCAGTAATGTTGGTCTGCAGATCTCCATTGTGTCAGATGTGAGATGTTGTTGTGCTGATTGTAAAAGTCCTCAGACCTCCATCAGTCCATCATAACAGTGCTTCAGTATTCTTCTTCTTCTTCTATTATTATTTCCTCCAGAACTGTCTTGAGCATCTGTCTGCACTCCTATATCATGCGCCCAAAGGCTACATCATTCACCGTGTTCATTGTGTTTGCTCTTGGTCTTCTGAGGCTCATTTATTAGAGGAGAACAAACACCACAGTGGAGAATCCCAACAGTGCAGCAGACTCCACTTTTCTCAGTGATATCAGTGCAGGAGCAGCAGGAGCTGAGGAGGTGATGCTCTACTGTGCATCATTGATGGAGACGCTGATTTAAGCACTGATGATGGATGGCATGTTACACTATTATGCCTATTTCACATCTTTGGATGGAAACGCAGCTACTGTGAGCTGAACTGAGTTCTGAAGTGACTAGTTTCTGTAATTAAATTGAAGATCCTCTGATAATGAGTAAAGTAAGGGATTACTGTATTGTTTATATCATTTAATAAGTTATATCTTAATAAATAATCAGACCCGCACTGAATATATACCTGCAAAAAACTTTTCAGTGACGTAATTAGGAGTTAAAGACTTTCTTTTTTTGAAGTAAGTTGGTCAGCTCTAGTTTATCTAGATAAGGGATCATTAAGTGAGTGTTGATGTAACGCCGGACCTGCAGAAGCTCACCTGTGAGAAGATGTTGAGGTTGTGTTTGGGTTTATAGGTCATGCGCACCGGCTTCTGCAGCGCTGGACTCCTGACGGACTTCAGATAAAACGCCTGCATCTCAGAGTCTGAAGACCAGAGGAAAGACATCAAACCTGATCTGAGCACAGTTCAGTGTAATAACAGTGCATCTGAGACCGGCCTGTCAGCACAGCACACTACACTGACATCACATTTACATTACTTATGATGCAGATGTTATTGAGACTGAACCTGGAAGATTACAACAGTACAATTAAAGGAAAAGAAAATATTCTTAATGTATATTTGAGCTGGCGTCACAAAGTCTCAGTGGTGTTGCACTGTGGCCTCACAGCAAGAAGGTCGCTGGTTTGAGTCTCGGCTGGGTCAGTGTGTGTTTCTGTGTGGAGTTTGCATGTTCTCCCCCCTGTTGGTGTGGGTTTTCTCCAGGTGCACCGGTTTCCCCCACAGTCCAAACACATGCGCTATAGGGGAATTGATCAACTAAACTGACCGTAGTGTATGACTGTGTGTGTGTGTGTGTGTGTGTGTGTGTGTGTGTGTCTCACCGTTGAGCCCCTGCGAGCACTGTGTGTTGTTGACCACGAAGCCCTGCAGTGATTGGTTCTGCTCGTCTCCATCATCTTCATCTGAGGAAACATCTCCATCTTCATCCTCAGAGAGTTCGGCCTCCTCATCCAGAAACTGACGAGCCGCGCCACGGGGAAACTTCTAGAACACACAGAGGAGACGCAGAAGACGATGATCACCGTGTGTGTGTGTGTGTGTGCATATGTGCAAGTGTGTGTGAGAGTGCGTGTCAGCATATCTGAGTATGTTAGTGAGAGTGTGTGAG